CATAATGCATGCTCCATGAGGGCAGGACCCATGTTTACTCCAGTGTCCCCAGAGTTTAGCCAAACCCTGGCACCTGAGCATGTAGCGCAATAAATATTTGATGAATGAGTGATGAGTGAGTGCATGAGTGCCAAAGCCCACCTGTTGGCAGGTGAAGGATACCAACATTCTGAATTGGCTCCAGAGCAGGCCAGGACTGAGCCAGAACCTCACAAAGCTCACGTGTACTAGTGGCCAGGGGTTGGGAATGGGGAGGAGGGGCTGAGTGCAGAGAAGGCAGCAGCTCACCCTGGGGCTCCCATATACCTGCTTCAACTATCCATCTGAGGATACTGTTATTAGGCGACTCTTATACTCTAACAACTTGCTTTTGATTCAGTGGTGTGACTCACTGATGGTGGGACCTCAGGCACTGGGACCAGCAGGGGAGAGGTGTTGAGATGTTGGCCTCACCCAGATCGTACCCCTTGAGTCACTTCAGGCCTACTCGTAAGGCTAACTCCAATAGCAGCCCAAAAGGCCATTCGTGCAGACAGGTAATCAGAGAAATTTGAGAATTTAAGCCTTAGTTCCAGCGGCATTACCCAGATGAATGACAGCTTGTGGCTAGAGCTTGGATGGCATTCTCATCCAGAGGTCAGCGTTCCTTCTCTCTGATGCTTCAGATCACTGTCTGGCAAAGGACGCAGCAAGCAGGGTAACACTACCCTGAACAATTCAGGACCCAAAGTGCAAGAATGTCGCCAAACCCCACTCAGAAGCCCATGGTCATGATGCTTGCCCAATCTGCTCATGGCTGAACCCATCAAGAGGAATTATTTCGGTACCAGAACACATTTCTCTAGTTCCTGTCCATATGGGGGAAGAAATAGCAAACGCCTCTCTGTGACAGCACCCAGCAGACTCTCACACTGGTGAGTGAGAGAAACCTCACCCGCAGCCATGGCCGACATCTGAGCGGTTTTCCCAAGAACCTTCTTGAAGAAGCAGTGATATTTTCCAGAGAAAGGTGGGGCATGGTGGTGATAATATATATGGAAGGGGAAAAAGAAAACAAAACACCCCATTCTGAAAGTGATGGTTGTGTAAGAGGCTGTCCCTTGTAGGCATGTCACTGCTGTGTCTCCTGTACCTCGGCTTCCTTGCCAGCTGCACCCCAGGGAACTGAGTCCCTCCTTAGCCAGGGCCAGTTACAACAACACCCCATTCCCAGGAAAGAGATGCACCTGCACAGTGTTCACCTGGATGAGATCTGATCTATGCCTGGGGAAGTATTTTAACTTATGCGGGCCTCCAAGTTGTCATCAGTACCCTCCATAACTACAAAGTGAATGGAGTTTGAACCTCAGATCTCCCAGTTAGCTGAGTGACCCTGGACAAACTCATGCCCAAGTGGTGATTTTATCAGGATTAGATATGATTAAGTAAAATTGTATACATAAAGGATCTAGAAAATGCCTGGGAGTGCACAATAGCCATGATTTTCCCTGTCCAAGTCCCCTGTTGTTTTGCTTACTAAATAATATTGTATTACTTTGCAGTGAATAATTACTCCTTTTAAATTGTGGTCTAGACTGCCCATTTTAGTTTCTTGTATTTTATTTTAGAGAATGTAGAATACGTTTGGTTTTTAGCTCTAATAAAGCTATATGTCGTAATCAACTCAGTTCAATAACACTCTCAATACTAGAGTGATTTGAGGGATATTTGTTCCTCCATGAATTCATTTATGGATTCCTTTAAGGATATCTTGCTCCCAGAGTATTTTGAAGAGGCTTACAAAAATAAATATGGTGGGATACAAAGAGATAAGAATAGTTGTTTTAAATTGGTCACAAAGTTGATCTGAGCTTCCTAGAAGCCAAAGCAAACAGGGAAAGCTGAGCAATGATAAGACTCACAATGTTTGTTAGATATCAGCTGCTTCCAGGAAACACAATTATTCCTGCACTAAGCTCTAAGTGAGCTCTGTCCCATCCTCAATACCATCTCCACAGAAGAGGTGCCTCTGATTCTGCCTGCTGGTATGAAACAGGGCACCATACCTGAGGGATGCTCAGGAGAGATCTAAGCATGGTCTGGCTTGATCCAGGGGTAGGATTTGATTCAGAGGAATCAATAAAATACATCCGTCTCAGTTACTATAGATGCATTACAAATTGCCCCAAAATTTAGAAGCTCACAACTATCATTTTATCTTGCTTAAAATCTCATGGGCCAGGAATTTGGACAGGGTACAATGGGGATAGTTTATTTCTGCTCCATGATGGTGGGGGCTCACCGAGGGGGCAAGTCCAAAGCTGGAATATGGAGGCATCTTCACTTATATGTCTGGTGGTTGATCTGGTGCTCACACATGGCCTTTCAATGTGGCCAGGGCTGCCTCACTGCATGAAGCCCTCAGTGTATCAGAATTCTCAGGGCTCCAAAGGTGAGCATTCCAGAGAACTAGACAGAAGCTGTATAGTCTTTTCTGGCCTACCTTCAGATGTTATGCAACATCCCTTTTACTGCATTTGGTTGGTTACAAGCAAGTCACAGCCCACCCTGATTGTGGGGAGAGGACATAGACCCCACTTCTTGATAGAAGGCCTATTAAGGTTACATTGGAGAAAAGCATGTGAATGGGAGATATCTGTTGCTGCCATCTTGGGAAAATACAATCTGCTCCATCATCACCCATAGATACTATATCCTGCAACCAAGCTTTTGGTAGGATTGGAATAGATGTAAAAGGCTTAAAGGAATCTTTCTGGTGCCAAACACCAGGTGAGGAAGTCTTAGCTTAGGCTAATGGATATATGGCAGGTTTGAGAGTCACAGTGACCATATGCTAAATGGATCAACACATCTGGGGCCCCATGTGCATCATTCTGCTCAGGCTACCATAACAAAGTACCACTGACCAGGTGCTTTTCATAGGTCTGAAGGCTGAAAGTCTGAGATCAAGGTACCAGCATGGTCAGATTCTGGTGAGAGCTTTCCCCTTGGGTTGCAGATGGCTACCTTCTCACTGTATGCTTACATGATTTTTTCTTTGTGTGAGCATGAATGTGGGGGTTTAACAGGTGGGGAGGATCTCTCGTCTGTCTTCTTATAAGGGCACTAATCCTATCATAAGGGCCCCACCCTCATGACCTCATATAACCCTAATTACCTCCCAAAATTTCCATGTCCAAATACGTTGGGGGTTAGGATTTCAAAATATAAATTGAACACACTCAGTCCATAACACCATGGTTATAGACATGCCACCATTCGGTAGAAAATGACATCAATTCCTGAATATTTCCAAATATCTGGAGTCTTTATCAAGTAGACAAATCACCCACACACAAGAATTTTTCACTTTCTTTCCAACTTAGTCTTATAGCTAAAACTCAAGCCAGAGACTATGACATAGATATAAATAGACCCAGAGCATCATTATATATAATTTGGAAAGGATTTCACTGGCATACATCTGTAAGCAGTTCAGGCACACTTTCAAGCTGTGTTTACATGATACCAAACATCTGGATGAAAACTGAAAAAAATAATCAATTTGGATTGGAAACAAAACAGAAGTACAAATCTCATTGCATGGGCCCTTGGAATACTGAATGCATAACTGATCCCCATACCCCAAGAATGAGATAATGGTGCACAAGAAGAGCCATTGAAATGGCCAAGGGGCAAAAGGGGCTTCCATGGGAAGACAGACTTTAAAAAAAAGAACTCCATTATGCAAACAGGGGATGGGAAGGGATGAAATCAAGGACTATGAAAACCATGAAGAATACAAATCTTAAAGAACCAAAGATCTGGAACCAGGAGCTTTGAAGCTTGGAGGCAAAGATTTTAGTTCAACTGAAAACCCAATATATCCTGGCTATCAGGGAAAGTAGCATCCAAGAAACTCGAGCTTCTAGATAGTCAAGGAATTATCCCCTTACACATCACAACCTATGTCCACTCTTTCGGGCAGAAACCTTTCTAAAATGTATTTCTTCCCCAGCCTCCTATAGAGAATACACTATCCCTAGATCACCACTAAAGCCCTCAATGTGTATAGTAATTATGTCACATAACCTCAAGTACCAATAGTTCCTGCTAAATGACCCCCAAGCCCCAAAATACTTTAGTTCTTGTCCCTGCTTTTTCAGAATTCTTCAACTTTCTCTTTCCATCATTTCTCAGCTTTTCATTCTTGTGGCATGATTAAGACAGGTTCCCTGAGACACAGGCCCTGAGATGGGATTGGAGGGCAAGTTGTTTGTTTGGTAGGTGATCCCAGGAAGCACCAGCAGAGGGCTGGAAGTGAGACAGGAACAGGGAAGCAGCCCATAAAGGTGCATTACTTAAAGGAGCAAGTTACTTACCTCTGGGAAGCTGGGGCTCAGGGCACTGAGACTTCCACAAGACTGTGCAGAGCTATCCCACACGAGGGGCAGGAACCTAGATTTTATCCCCAAATCCTGTCTGTCATTCTTTAAGAGCTGCTCCCCTTAGCAATCTGGCACTTCCAGCCAGAAGCCTGCAGGTGTTTGTAGCAGGAAGCCAGCAGGATATGGGGGGAAGGTGAGTATGGGGGACAGAAGCTCCTCCACTATGGATTCTGGAGCTGCCTGGAGTGGTGCTCCACCCCTCCCTCACACCAGAATTTCAGGGTAAAGAAGGCAGACTAGACTATGACTAAGAGCCTAAGGGACCCTCCTTTGGGTAAAAGATATCCTCTATGATAGCCCAGTAAAGTCTAACTTCTTCTGGTTCTTGGTTATATTCTTAAAAGGTGCCATAAGACAACTGGTAGTTTAAAAAAAATTTTTTTTAGCCACTCAAAAATATCTAATCACATTAATTTCTGAAACAAAGTTAAAAGTCCACAAATTGCAGGTTGTATTAGGCAAACTCTCTGGAGATGAAAACTGACTTCTTTGTGTTACTTCAAATAATAGGATATGGCCAGAACTTGGAAAGAGTCAGTGTCCAGGGTGGGGTTGCAGTCTCAAGAAGGGTGCATGAGTGCAAGTGGGGAAACTGAGGCAAAACCAAGTATACTGCTTCAAGTATACACCTTCTGTGGGGCAGAGCCAAAGGAGAAACTGTGGGTCAGTGGATATGTGGGGTTCAGGGAATGCTAGATGCCAGATTACAAACAAGACTCGTCCCCTCCCTTATCTCGGTGGGGTGGGGACTTGGTCATGATAGGTGCAGGCATTACCAGGGAAGAGAAGGACATGTTCACGACACATGAGATGGCAAGCTGAAGGTCCTCAGAACTCACATCTGAGGAGGGCTGGGACAAACATCCCTGACTTATTTAAAGTCACATATCAAGTTCATGAACAGCCAGGACAAAAATCCAGGTGTCTTCACTCCACCACGGCAGAAATTACCCAACAGTTAGTAGTCCCAAGGCAAAGCCAAGAAGAGGCGTGTTCCAAGAACACCAGAACACGCTGGCTTAAAGTTCCTGCGAGGATAATTTCAGGGAGAAGGGCCCCAGGCCAGGCCAAAGAGTCAAAACCTCCAGCCATTCCAGCAAAGCACCCTGGCTGACAGGAAGGAGACAGGCTTTATGCTGGGGAGAAGAGGAGCAAGGAGCCCACACGCCAGGGATGGGAATGCAGCAAACAGAGCCAGAGAAATTAAGTGTGGGGCAAGAAAGAAGCAGGGAGAGACCGAAATGGGGTAGCCATGGAACAAACCCATCACTGCTTAGACTCTGGCTAGTTCTCTGTTTTGATCTGTATTCGGGGCTCTTCTGGGCATGGGGAACAGTGCAGGATAGTCAAGACACAAGCTCTCAGATGAAAAAGACAGAGCTTGAGCTCTGGTTTGGGTGTAGCAGGATCTGGGCAAGGCTGAACAAAGCGTTGGTGACACAGGTGAAGAGCAGGGACGAGAGAGACTGCAGATTTGGAGTCGAGAGAACTGTAGAAAAACGGCATTAGAATCTGATAGGACTGTGGATGCCAAAGCAAAAGGAAAACAAAAGTCAGGAAACTCATTTGAAGACTATGAGCCTGGGGACCTGGGGGCTGCTGGCACCCTGGGTGCTGATGGAGACTTTGGAAAGATGTGATTATTTGGAGCGGAGAGTCCACGTGGCGCTGACCCCACCCTGCACTTGGTAACTGGAAGAGGAGAGCGTGATAGGGCTAGGATCCAGGGTCCAGGGCTGACCTCTCTCCTGTGAGCCACTCCCCATTCCTGTTAACTCTTGCAGCAATGTCACCGCACTAAGGAAGGAGACAGGTGTCCCCTACACTTGTTTTCCCTGGACAGAAACCCAATACTGGATCTTTGACTCATCAACTTCACCAAAAGAAATTGAAGTAGGAGTTATAGGAATGTGAAGGGTGAACTGAGTTCCTGGATTCTTGACAATTATGTGACTTGACAAAATCCACATTGGAAAAAAGTAACACAGAGTTTGGAAGGATAGAGGACTATAATTAAGCCAACTGGAAATATGGTGTCGATGTGTCTGTTCAGGGGGAGGATTAGTGCATCTGAACAAGGTCACTGTGACTCAAATGTTGTACTGTAATGATGTTATCCTGAAAGAGCTTCAATAAATCTAACCTCTTGTGGATGTCCAGATAACACAAATTTGGAAAGATCTAAAAACCAGCTAAAACTGGTACTGACAGCCAAAGAAGAAAGTTGTTGAAACACTGAAAACTACCATGGGATGATATGTGTTAATGGTTTGAAAAATAAATTTGATATTTTGGGCTAGGGAGGATTTCCCATCTTTGCCATACTGCCTGAGATGTTAAGATGCTCACATCCACAGTCGAGAGGCCAGGGAAGTAATAGAGATAGGCCCAGGGGTCCTTCTAAGGGATGGATTTCCTCAGAAAATGATCAAAGGTTTATGGCAACCAGGAATCAGATCCAGTGCTTGAAAGACTTCTCCCTTAGAAGTGTTGATGGCTTCAGCCAGGCAGATTGGCTTTGAACACAGAAGGGAGGAATCGATTAAAGAACAATGCTAAGGGGAGACTTGGTGGGAAAGAAAATGTTGGCTAGCAAGGAAAGAGAAATGGAAATTCTGAAAATCTGCTAAAGAAGGATAGGGGAGGGAAGAGAGAAGGGGAGGGAAGAAGGGGGAGGAGAGGGAAGAGGAAGAAGGAGGGGAGGGAGGAATGGGTGGGGAGGGAAAGGAAAGAGGGGAGAGTTGAAGACATTAAAGAGTCAAGTCCTGCTTTTGATAATTCCATTCCAGGTGGAGATGGGCTACTACAACACCGGTATGCAGGAAGTGATAAAAGGGGAAAGATCAGTATTGAGGAGAGAGATTTGGGAGAAGTCAGAAGCAGACTGAAAACCAGATGTAGTAAAGAAGAATAAACCAGCCCATAAAGGAGCATGGTACTATGATGTGTGTCCTGAACTAGGGCTGGAGACCTGGGTTCTAGTCCCCCTTCTGCCTCTAACGTTGGGCAAGTCACTCCATCTTCCTGGGCTTGTCTCTTTATATGTAAAGTGATGGGCTTAAACTAGGGGACCTTGAACATCCCCTCCCTCTTCTACAGCCCATAGACTCAGTGAGATCAGAAGACTTACATAAATGGAACCTCCCAGACTGGAACATGTATTTAGCTTTTCTAAGTAAAAAATGTTTTGAATGGAGGGGAAAAAAAGGTTCCACTCAACACTTGGCGAGCAGTATTTGTTCTGTAAAATAATTAGCAAGTAAGCATTATTGAACTGGGTTGTCCCATAATTACAAGAGAATTAAAAGGAAAAAAAGAATTTAGGAGACTCAATTTTCCCTCCCATAGATCAGAAGAGTGATTAACATAAACCATGGGTGGGCGGTTAGTAAAGATATAAGCAGGAGAAGAGAGCTAAGATCAGATGAATAGAGTGCTAGTGTAGAGGTCAGGAGCCTTGAGTTCCAGTCCCAACTCTGACTCTTCCAGGATCTGGACACATTCTTTCCCCTCTGTGTCCCAACTTCCAAAGGAACCTAAAGATCATGGACACCAGCCTCCCACAATGTGGTCATCCACCTGTACTCATTAAAATAGTCTTTCTGCTCCCTGTGTGTCTACACTAAGAAGGTGCAACTAGGAAGGCAGAAGCCAGTTTATGTATTTTCAGGAGTAGTGCAGGGAACTGGGCACAGAGGTAACTGAAGAGCTGAGAGGCCAAACAGAGGACAGCGAAGCAAGAGACATTAGCAACAGCAGGGATTCACTGAAGCTCGAACCGCAGTGGGTCCATCTGGTGGGAGCTGGAGGAGCCACGGAGGAGATGCGGCCACTGTCAGAGGTGCCAAGATCTAAGGGATAGACAGTGGCAGAAAATATCCCTGGCAAATGCAAACTGCAGGGGTCAGCACTTCCTCCACACAGAGCAGGGAAATGGCGAGGAATGGATCTGAGGGCAAACAGGCCAGGACTAGCACGAAATCCAAAGTCTGCCTTCTTACAATGTCCACCTATTGATCCTGCATCAGCCTAGAGTCCGGGTCTTCCACACATTTGAGGACATCCCCCCTGTCATGCCTTGTTTTCTTTCTTTCCCAGCATGATGTTTCAACTTCCTCACATGGAATGGTTTCCAAACCTCTCTCGTCATCCTAGTTCCTCTCCTCTGGCAACTCCCTGGTCTGTCTCCTTAAAATGTGGAGTCGGATGTTCACAAGACCCCAGGTGTCCATAATACCAGCTCATACACAGGATTCTTCCCGCCCCTCTCGTGGCAACGTAGCTGTTATCCCACTGTTGATTCACGTTGAGTTTATGCACAATCAAGACCACATATCTCTCCCATGTGATTCCAAGTCTTCTCTGACTTGTCCTAGCAGGGTAATCTACATATTTGATAAACACAACTAAATTCATCCTCTAAATCACTGATTTAAAAAAAAAAAGTAGAATAGATTAAGGACAAAGCCCTGTGTCACTCCACTAGAGACTTCTGTTCAAATTAACTCAGAACAATGAATCAAGGCTCACTGAGTAGGGTTGTTCAACCAGCTCCAGATCCACCTAACAACAACAGAATTAGGCAAGACTTCATCTAAGTCTCTACTTAAATAACAACTTATGGCATCTGGGGCAATCAGTTCCCTTCACTTTGCACCTAAAACACAGAGGCTACTCAACTAATATCCACTACTTTGAAGGTGAATAAAATTATCTTGATTTATACACCTAGACGCCTAGTGACCCTGTTTAAAGGAAGTTAGCATGGTCATTTTAATGAGACATGAGAATGTACCCATGTTGGCTGCCGGTGATCACCATTTTCTTCAAGTTTATTCCAGACTTTTGCTAGAGGGCACCAAAAATGTCACCAATCTGTTATTCCTGGCAACTATTCCTTTCTTCCTTTTGAAAACTGGGGCAATATTGCCCCATCCAGTCTTTGAGTACTCTCCTATCTTCCTGAAACTGTAAGGACTCTGTTGCTGCTTATGCCTTATGGGTCTTAACTGTCTTTCCCTCGGTGGGAATAATTTTTGACCCTTCCCACACCACAGAGCTGCATAAGGGTCCAGGATGATGGGAAGGCACTGGGAACAGCTTGAAACAGTCACATAGGGTGCCCACAATGCAGCCCTGTGGATCTGAGTAAGAACAGCCAGAGTACAGCACAGTCATACCCCACAGCCCCCAGGGTGAATGCCAGAAGTGGGGCTAGACACCACATGCGATCAGGGAGACTCCCAGCAGGGCCAAACCCTATGATCCTGGTCCTGCTCTTTAAAATGCTCACAAATAACCCTAGAGGAAGCTGGGTCAGAGCACAACAGAGACTGGGCCCATAGAGCTTTCTTCTTTCTCTCTCTTTCTCAATTTCCTTCTCCCTCTGAATCAGTGCCAGAGTGTGGAGGAGGGAGAGAGAGAATCCCAAACATGGGGCTTGATCTCACAACCCTGAGATCATGACCTGAGCCAAAATCTAGAGTCGGATGCTTAACCAACTGAGCCACCTGAATCAGTGCTTTAGAGTCACTATAACTGCATTAGCTGCTCCAGAAGCTATCCTATAGGCGACTCATTAGGGCAAAAGCTAAGAACATAGAACAGCTTGATGCCCAAATTGCCCAGTTGCCCATACCCTGCCTCCCACGAGGTGTCTGGACTTGGATAGGGCTGTGCAGGGGACACGCTGCCCACAAAGAAAATATGAAAGGAAATTTTCCACTCCTCTCTTCAACCTAGAAGAATCCCCTCTGGGCTCAACTCAGATAACTCACCCCCTGCTGAGAGGGGATTATGCCCATGACAATTCTTGATAATCTTGAAATCTTGAGATATATACAGCAATTATTTTGGGAGCTACAATCTTCTGTCTCTCTCCCCTCCAAAAAACAAATGAAGCTGCTGAAGGATCACAGACATTTATTAAAGATGCATGCAAAGATTTAGACATGAAGATATTTACTAACACTCAGTTATACCAGAAAATTGGAAACAACCTCAATGCCCAATAATGTTCAACTACATTATGGTGCACCCATACACATAGAATACTGTGCAGCTACTAAACATCATGTCAAAAAGTAGATGAAATAACATACTATTAAAAGGAAAAAGCAAGTTAAAAAAGAAGGCGACACACACAAAGAGGGAAGTTTTTCAAAAGATGTGTTAACAGTTATTTTAACTAGTGGAATTATGAACAGATTTTTAATTTTTCTACAGTGATACTTTCGAAATAAGGGATGGACGACAATGAAAACTTAGTTTTGCTAGCCAGAAAGAGAGAGGAAATGCCCCCTCTTTCAAGGCTGTCTTCAGGCACCTTGCTCTGCCAGATGGATATGAAGCCAGTTCTGACCCCACTGTCCAGCTTGCCTAGAGCCCCATGAAGGCTGCCTTGCTCTCGGCAGAACTTCCTTAGTGCCAGGATCCACCTCAAGACAAGTTATTTAAAATGGGGCTGTCCTGGCTAACCTCTCATCTCAAAATACCAAGGGTCACTTCAGCCTAGAAAAAAATGGCAGTGCCAGAGCCCTGTGGGGTTTTGGAGCAGAGTAGCAGCCCTAGCGTGTGAGAGGAACCTCCCTCCCCTCTCCAGGCTTCTTGCCCAAAGGTTTACAGACAGCTCCCTTTCCATCCCACAAGAGGAGACAGGCAGATGAGTCATAGCACTGACTTAGTTTAAAGGAGTATTACTGTGTTCGCAGAAATGGATCTGTTTTATTATCCGTTTCTTGACACCTTACATATAGATAGGCTTTTCCCACCAGACGAGCAAGTTCCTTAAAATCCAACTACTTCCTTAGCTAAAGCTAAGGAATGACCAATGAGACTTAGAAACTTGTGTGTCTGAAAAGCAGCCAGGCTGAAAAGATGTAGTGGAAACACTGAGGAAAGTGGTTTATAACCCTCAGACTCTAGATTCAAGTCTGCAAAGTGATGCCATTCTTCTAAAAATACACAGAGGAACTACGGAAATCCTTTCCTCTTTTCTAAGAGTGTTTCCTTTCCTTCTTTTTCTTTTTAAAGAAATATAGTAGGATTGGCTTGTAAAGGAGATTCACCACCTCAGATTTCACTGTTTTCGTGGGGGTTGATGGTCATAAGATACTATTTTAAGGACTTCCTTCTCTTATACAGATTTTTCCACACTGGGAGGACAGATAAGGTATGTTCCACTAATGTTCTTCATTAAACACACATGCGCGCCAGCAGTCATTTCCCTTTGTCTTGCTATCCCATGACAACAGATTGCATATCATAGGAAACTGGAATGGAGACCTTATTTGGTTTGGATCTCTCTTCTCCATTGTTTAATTCCACATTCAATTTTTTATTCTAGGTCGGCCTCTTTTTTTTTTTTGCAGAAATATACTATGACTGAATATAGGAACAAATAAATGAATAAGTGTTGTTTTTCTGGACTCACATTATACACTTTTCAGAAGCACTTTGACCAGCATCCCCCACCCCCAGTATTTTATCTCTGGGCTGAATGTATTAGTTATTCAGTAAATAACCAATGACTTGATGGGCATATATGTATCATGTGCTCTCCATACCTTGTTTATTGTTAACCAAGTTCCAGTAGTGAGCTTCCCTATTTCCTTTATCGCTGTGATGTACAGATACCTCCGTGGGATTCTGTCTCTCTCACCCTTCAACCTAGACCACCTGCCCATTAAAACAAACAAACAATCATTAAAAAGCTTCTACCAAGTTTCGGGAAAGGAGGTCTAAGGGAACAGAGAAAGTTTCGCATTTCCTGTCGTTGAATCTAGGCTTGGCTTTCAGAGGAAGCTGGATGTCTTTTCAATCTAATATACTCTGTTCTCTGATGCCACCATCCTTGATTTTCCTTAAGAATGCAAAGGTATGGCTTTTTCCGCCATCTTGGAGTCTGTGGAGGCCTGCTGGGAACAGGACTCTTATAACGCCAAATAATGTCTGCAAGGCTGTGGTCCAAGGCCATTTTTGCTGGCTATAAGCGGGGTCTCCGGAACCAGAGGGAGCACACAGCTCTTCTTAAAATCGAAGGTGTTTACGCTCGAGAGGAAACGGAATTCTATCTAGGCAAGAGATGTGCTTATGTGTACAAAGCAAAGAACAACACAGTGACTCCTGGTGGCAAACCAAACAAAACCAGAGTAACCTGGGGAAAAGTAACTCGTGCTCATGGAAACAGTGGCATGGTTCGTGCCAAATTCCGAAGCAACCTTCCTGTTAAAGCCATTGGCCACAGAATCCGTGTGATGCTGTACCCCTCAAGGATTTAAACTTAGTGAAAAGTAAATAAAGGTGTAGATTTGTTCTCTTGTATTTTTGTTAAAAAAAAAAAAAAAGAATGCAAAGCTATGGGGCACCTGGGTGGCTCAGTCAGTTAGACATCTGACTCTTGATTTCAGCTCAGGTCACCATCTCAGGGTCCTGAGTTCCAACCTTGCCTGGAGCTCTGCACTCAAAACAGGGTCTGCTTGGGATTCTCTCTCCTTCTCCTTCAGCCCCTCCCCCCACTGGCAAGCACGCTAAATAATTAATTTTTTTAAATCTTAAAAAAAAAGAATGCAAAACTATGATGGCAAACTTTTTAAAGGATCCCAGCTATTTATTTTTTGAGTATCAACTTTTACACAAATGTTGCCATTACTTTTTTCTTTTCATTTAAAAATGTGATTTTAAAATATTTTTCCTAAATGGGACCCATTAGATCTGAGAAGTAATGTTCTTCCCACTTATCAGACATCAACTGTGTGTCAGGCATTGAGGAATAGCTTCCACACTCATTATTTCATTTACTCCCTTACAACCACCCTATGAAGGAGATGCCAACACATGAGGGAACAGAGAGGTTAAGCCATTTGCCCAAGATCACACATCTAGTATGGGACTCTTCTGACTGTTCCACAGAAACCCATCCAACTTTTGTCACCTAAAGCCCACGAGTTTGGCCACCTAGAAAATGTTTTCTGAGGACGCAAAGTAGAACTATATTTGTACTCTGTGAAACCCATACCTTCACTGAAGGAGGCAGCCCTCAGGTAGCCAAGAGGCCAAACTGCCTTGTGACTCTATACCCTACCAGTTAGGAGCAGGTGTGGAGATCAGATAAGCCTGATTTCAAGTCCCAGCTCACCCACTTACTGGACGTGCGACCACAAGAAAATTATTTGCTATCCCTGAAATCCGGCTTCCACATGTATAAAATGGGGATACTAATATAGGTCGAATTCTATGAAATTGCCAACTTCCAGCTAATTTTGAACTCCAAAAAAGCATCTGCACGTGGTTCAACCCAAACTCTTCACTGAGTCACTGTACAGCTTAAACAAGCCCGCATAGGAAAACAAATGGCGCTTTTTAGTGGACTTTCTCCTCCTGACTTCATTTTGCTCACGTCAATAAAGTTAGTTTGCTTTTTCTGTGGCACTTTATGTACAGAGAAGCTGGCCTGACGTTACGTTAGCATTGGGAGTTGATAATTCAGGGAGACAGTACGACTGCACGGATCCTTGAGAATTAACAACCCACAATCTCCTGATCTCCTGAGGCCTTACTGCTCCTGCTCAGGGCGTTTTCCCCCTTCGTTTTGTCTCTTAATTACTAAGTAAATTCACAAATACCTCTTTTTAGAAAGTGAAAGGGTAGGGGCTTTGGAGCATGTTGCGCACTCCTTGTTAAGACGAGGCTGAAAATTCCATTCTTGGCCCGAGTCGGTGGGAGCGAAGTGGCGGGGCCGCGGCGGGCAAGGCGTGTCCGCTGCGCGCGACGGCTCCCTGCTCGGCCCCGCCCCGCTCCGCTCCGCTCTGCCGCCGCCCCGGCCGCCCCGCCCACGCGGGGAAGAAGCGCCGCCGGAGCGAGCGTACCTGCCGAGTGCTGTTCACTTCCTCGCCAGGTGCTAGGCCCTGCTCTCGGCTCCTCACGTGCATTCTTAATTTCCTCCCCAACAACATTCCCGGTAAAAGGCAACTGTCATTTCCCCATCTACCAAGTGAGGAAACACCTCAGGGAGAGTGAGTCTCTCGCCTCAGGTCCCCGAGCGGTGGACTAGGACTCCAAACCGGGCAGCCCCGGGACTCCCACACGGAACCTCTCTTTTTTCTCTTTGGGTAGAGGCGCTTTTTTGCCTCAAAATCCTCCCAACTTGGCCATCCGCAAGAGACCGCGCTCGGCCTCGCCTACCGGCAGGACCTCGCCGCGCGCCTCAAGTCCAGGGCGCCGGGCGCCGGGCGCCCGGCGCGGGGCGCGGGTAGGAGGAGCGGCACCGCCCCCGGGGTATTTAAGCCCCGTCTGGAGCCCGCGGGGCCGGACGCTCCCGCTCTTCCCAGCTCGCGCCTCCCCTCCCCCTCCCCGCTCTCTCCCCGCGCGCCCCCACCCTCCGCCCCGCGCGCCCCCACCCTCCGCCCCGCGCTCGCCTGGCGCGCAGGCACCGGCCGGCAGGGCGCGGAGAGCGGGGCGCGGGTGGCGCTCGCCTCTGCGGAGCCGCCCCCCGGCCGCCGCCGCCGCGCATTGCCCAGCCCGTGCCGCCAGGACTGCCGCCGCCCGGCTGCCCGCACCGAGTACGCCGCGGCAGCGGGAGCCCGGACGCCGGCCCCTAGCGCCCCGCAGACGGGCGGGCGGCTGTGGACGTCCGGCCAGCAGCCCGCAGCATGGATTCGGATTCCGGCGAGCAGAGTGAGGGCGAGCCAGTGACCGCGTCAGGTACCGAGGGGCCGCGGCAGCCCAGCCGGGAGGGCCGGGGCCGGGAGGAGGGAAGGCCGGGGCAGGAAATCGGAGTATTTCTCGGAGCTGCCGGGCGGGAGGCCGATCCCTTCCAGGCCAGGACCCGGGATTGCTCCGCGCTGAGTTTGCTGTGAGGCTTTCCACTGCACTTGGGCGCGCGGGAGGGAGAAGAGGTACATCTGCGGGTGGCTCTCCGCGCAGCTGCGTCCTGCAGCGGGCTCGGGTCGCCCGGGCTGGGTGGGGGTGGGGAAGGGTTCGCGAAATCCGCGTCCTGTAGTTTGCTGCAGCGAGGGTTGCAACACATCTGCCCCTTTGAAATAACTTTCCGAGCGCCGACCCCGTCCTCGAACCCGGGCGCCAGGGACGCTGAGGAACAGGTGACCCGGTCGAAGGCGTGACAGGGGACTACGGGAAGGAAAGGACCCGCGGGTGGACGGGCAGGGGTCAAACCACAGCTAGTGGCTGCGGTTCCCGAGGCGGTGCAGAGGGGTTCGTCCATCGCTGCCCCGTACAGGCAGAAGAGGTCCCTTCGGAGGGGTCCGGGAACACAGCCGCGGGGCAGGGGGGGAGGGGGCGCGGGAGCCGGGCTTCGCCTTTAAGAGGCGCCGCCGGCTTTTCACAATCGATAGTTATCGAAGCAATGGGTGGATGCTTACTTTGGAAAAAAATGAATGTCCTCCCCCGCCTCTTCCTGATACTGAGCAACAGGAGGAAGCCACCCACAGTCTTGGGTCTACTTACGGCTGGGCTCTGCCCACCTCCACCGGCCTGCTCCACCCGCCGCCCAGGGGTCCACACACCGGAGACCTGATCGCCCTCCCCACCTGTCCCCGGCTCCCGGGACCCTCGGGGCCCTGAAGGCTAGCCGCGGCCGGCCGGCAGACATGTGACCTGAGGGCTGGGACCCTCCTGGTACAGACCCGAGGTCCTCGACTAGTCCCCACTCTTACCTATGTCACACCAGCATCCTGAGAGTGGGGACCAAGTGCCAGGAGGCACTATCAGCCCAGGCGTGGCTGTAGGAAAGGCAGGCTCAGGAACCACGCAGGACAGCGCCAGGCACTGTGCCAAAGGCCCTACATAGATGATTCCCCTTAATCTTCACAGCATCTAGCCAGGTGGTTATTAGCTCCATTTTACAGAAGCCCACAGAGGCTAAGTGGCTTACCCATGTATCACAGCAGGGAGTAGCCAAGGTCTACTTGATAGGATAGGATTCCCTATTTACTCTATGGTACCCCTCAGCCTCTCACAGGGTGGCTGTGGTCAACACCTTTTTGAGTGGGTGGGAAGAGATGAGGCTGGCCAAGAGGAAGGGTGGCATTACCAAGATGCCTTTGTGAGGATTCCCGTGTGTGTGCAAGGGCCACCTCCTTTGTGCAGGTAGGTGTGGAGATAACTAATTAACCTGAGCCCTTTGCCTACTTGTATGTTTCTGTGACTAGGAAGCACCAAGATTTTGTTTCACAGGGGGCTTGTTGATCTCCTAACATCTTTTTAAAGTTCCAGTGGGTGTTTATGTGTGTATCTAAGTATACCTGGAGGGGCGCCTGGGTGGCTCAGTCATTAAGCGTCTGCCTTCTGCTCAGGTCATGATCCCAGGGTCCTAGCCCCACATCAGGCTCCCTGCTGGGGGTCGGGAGGTAGGCCTGCTTCTCCCTTTCCCACTCCCCCTGCTTATGTTCCCTCTCTCACTGTCTCGCTCTCTGTCAAAAAGTAAATAAAATCTTTTTTTAAAAAGTATATCTGGAAAGCTGGGGTGTGGTTGGTAGGGGCCTGCTGACCTTGACACTTTACTGTCTCAAAATCCCAGGAACTAACACGCTGTCCCCACCCCACCCTCAGATCTCTTATGCAGGTTGATGTTTGAAGGAGAGGAGAAGGAAGCTTAGAGAAAGAAGAGGGAGGAGAAGGGAGAGGAGATACCCCAGAAGAGTTGGTGCTTGGGTGAAAGGGGGGGGGAAGGAGTTCTCAAGGGTCCTGTTTCTTCTCCCCCAAGCCTGCCCAGCCCGGAGTATCCCGGATGTGTGCATGTCCATTTGTGTCAGGCCTCTGCACTGAGCGCTGAGGTCAGATGGGTCCTCTGAAGAATAGGGCAGCCAACTCTGTGAGCTGTCACCATGTGTTTGCACCTTGCTGTTTTCTACAGTCATTTCTCCTTTTCTGTGAGCACATGAATCTCTCAAGCTGAACATTTAATTGACTATCACAAGCCATTCTTCTAAATGGCATTCCATCTCATTCTCAGTCTTAAACTATTTTTCGTGACAAAGCTTCAGAACTAAATGCTAATTCATTGCCTTGCTGTAGCTGCATCCTGTCAAATGGAAACCCTTGTTGTGACTTCAGATACAGGTTAAATGACAGGTATGTTATCCTTAGGGGTTGACCTTTCTCTCTATAAGGAATGAGGCCTTCATCTATGGACCTGTGTCTGTGCAAGCTGGATGCGTTTGTAACCGCGGACAACAGAGAAGCGGGACCTCTTGGAGTATTCATCGTGTGTGTGTGTCTGTGTGTACCTACCTCTTAGGGAGTTGAGATGTAAGGGCTGCATCCTCCTGAGTGGCCTTCCCTTCTCAGACTTGCAAAGAAAAAAAAGCCCTGCCTTGAGATGTACCCTATTAAGGTCAAGAGCCTGGACTCTGGAATCAGAAAGACCTAGGTTTCATTCTCTACCTAACGCAAGTTACTTAACCTCTCCAAACCTGTTTCTCCCTCTGTGAAATGGGGATAATACTAGTACCACAAGGAGGTTGTGAGGATTAAATAAAATACCACATGAAAAGTGTTCCCGGTAATCATTCAGTACATGGTAGCTGCTGCGTTGTTTATCACCTGACTGGATTATTTGTTATAAGAATACTGCTAAATAATATACTCCGGTGCTTTATAAAATGTAAATCAGTAGGCGTGTTTAACACAATTAGTATTATTGTCATTATTATCATATTAATGTAATTGAGCAGGTTTGTTTTGAATTTTCTCTTTTTCATTCTCTCATTCTCTCTGGGGTATGTGTGTGTGGGTGTGGGTGTGCACACAGGCGTGTGTGTGTGTGTGTGTGTGTGTGTGTGTGTGTGTGTGTTTGCTTGTTGGTTTGGGGGAGGTTATCGTTACCTCTTCTTATCCTCCTCATCTGCCAGCTCAAGGCATGAAGATGAGGACATTCAAAACTACTACTTTCACTCCCCTTTTCCTTTAGCTGTAGGTAAAGTTGTACAAAGCAGAGAACCCCTTACCCAACCCACCAGCTAACTTGGAGATAGCCACTTTCATGCCATTTCAAATAAAAGAAGAGGAGGTAACCCTTCCCAACCAGTGAACCGTTTTCCTTCAAGGTAGCAGGAGGCCCAGGAAGTCCTCGTCATTCCCCTTCCATTTTTACCCATCTCAGTCACCTTCCCAGTTACAAATTGGCAGAAGAGTGAGAAAGTCTCCAAGGACCACCTACTCTTTACTGTACCCCTTTCAAGAGACTTTTCCGAAGATCTCCCCAGTGCCTGCAGTGCACTTATCAAGCGATGCAACCCTCTGCATATGAGGGTGAAGGGGGGAGATGAAATTTGTCTCGAGCTGCATTTTCTGTTTTTCCGGAAGCATAGGATGATGCTTCTATATCATTCTGCTGCCTGAAACTCTAGTCTGCCTTTCTGTCATTTTGGGTTCTTTCTATGATTAGGAAAGAGGCAGGGTTTATGGAACACTGGATTCATTCCAGAGACCCAACTTGGCAGTCTGTCGTTTGGCAAACCCACCATCCATCTCTCAGAAATCCTAGCACTTGGTATATTAACTTGACAGTGATTAAGAGTCTTTCCTAAGAAGCAACAAGCGAGTAAACATTAGCGGTGTCAGCTTTTTCCTTTTTTGCCTTGTAAGACAAAGATAGTCTACCCAGCTGAGGGCAAACAAGCTCCTTCTACCCACAGCTAGATGGTCCAGGGCATTCAAGCTGGTGGGGCTTCACAGCTGGGCAAGTGCTACAGAAAAGCATTTCCATGCAATGGAGTCGAGATGTGGTAGGGGAGCTTCAAGACAGTAAAAGAAATGGGAAAAAAGCAGGCCCCTAACCCTGCCTTTGCCATCTCTCCCATCGCCTAGGTCCTAAGCTTGGTTTGTGTGAACAAAGTGGCAAGGTGGATTAGGGAGATAGGATTCAAGTGGGTAGGATTCAATAGGTGGCCAAGAAGAGGAAAGGTGTTCCAGAAGTCAGACACCACTTGCGCAAAGGCACAAATAAGCAAGGGGGTTACTGGAGTGGAGGGCATATACTAGGAAGTACTGGGAAATAAAGTGACAGGAGTGTAGGGAGGGCCACATAGAAGAGGGTCTTAGTGACTGGTCCTGAGATGCCAGAGGAGCCCCTGTTAAGCTGATTGTTGTGCAGAGACAGGACTGACCGAGAGCTGGGTTTGCAGGAGCCACATCTGACAGACACGGAGTGTGGGCCTGCCCAGCTTGGAGCCTCGGCGACCAGGGTTGGCCACGGTATCGGAGCAAGTGGTAACGCTAAGGCGAGGCAGAAGAGGAAGGATGCAAGTGCCATTTCAGAGAAGCAAACAACAGAAGTTGCTGACAAACTGTATAAAAGCAGTGCAAGGAGAGGGAGAGTGGAAGGAGACTGGCGTGTTGAGTTGGGGTGAGGGCCGGGAAATGCGGGAGGTGGACTCCCCCACCCAGGCTTCCCAGCCCCCCCTTCTTTCCATCAGGCACTTAGCGGTGATGTTTTGTTTAAAGCCATTTTCCCCTGTAAAAATAAACCATGTTAGGGCACTGGCTTCAGGGGACTGTGAGGTTCTGGAGTTGGTTGATCCTCATTGTTAGATTCCTCGTGGAGACTGTTGAATAACCTTTGTTGACTGAAAGATTGACAATTGATGGGCTGGCCAACCTGGGATGGAGAGCATCTGGGGATGAGGTATCACTTGCCTATTAGTCACTGTCCTGTGTCTTGTTCCTGTTTGTGGACGTTTTCA